GACGTCTTGAGTTTTCCCTCTTGAAATGCGCGAGGAGTAACTTAAAAACACACACACATTTGCTCATGAGGTATAAAGAGTTTTCCCCACTAATTTAAATCTCAGTTAACCAATAGCTAGCCTCTAGTGTTCTCTCTATCAAAATATTTTCAGGAAAGAGACAGGAACCTGTGACGTTTTTATCTGTCAATGCGTGTGGGATAAAAATCTATGTGCATAATTTTCTGCTTGACTTTAAAAATGTGTCTCATAATGTAGAGTGCACAGAGTGCTCGATATAAAGGAAAATTACTTTAGATGATGAATATTCATCATTTGTAATGACAGCACTCAAAGATAGCTTTCTCCACCAAGGTCAAAAAGGCATGAGCAACTTAAACAACACTGGTTAGGATCATTATTAAAATGTTTGTTTCCCCCTTAGCTCTTTTTTCAAATCTATCAATAAAAATCAAAGTTGGAATCACAATTGTGTTGGGAACAAGAYAAACTAGCAGACAAGATGCAGCACCTTCTCACTTGATGCTAACAGAATAGCTATTATTGTATGTGCTGAGGAGTGTATGTTTGAGCTAAAACAACAATGCAATAAACACTTCAAAAAACATGTTTCAAATTTATCTTCACTATTATATACAGTGGTGGGCACAGTTCCCCTAAAGCACTAATGGTGGAACTAATTTCCTGATAAGTGCTTTAGGGCTTTTGCTAATTTTAGAATTTATTAGTGGATTAGCACTTGCTAAATTTACAGGCTACATTTAGAAGCACTAACTGAGGTCTATAAATGTTGAACAATGTTAATGTTAACAGCTGGTGGTGAAAGCTGTCATACATTTTGTTCATGTGTGTCACTTATCCACTAGGTGACAATTTATTGACAATATATGAACCCAAATATGTGGAATGTCAATAATAAGTACAAAGAGAGCAACATGACAATATGTGATTTATGTTGTCTGTTGAAGAATGTTCATGGGTTGACTGGGTTATTTTAGTGCTTTAGAAGTAGCTTTTGCTAAAACTTTCAGTGCATTAGTGCTTTAGAATTTGGGGACCTAAATATTTAAGTTAGTGCTTTAGG